ATTTTTGACTGTGTAACTTTACAAATGGCACCCCATACCATAATGTGTGTGTGATGAAAAAGGACTTATATCTACACATAAAAATACAAAACTATCAGAAAATCACCTTAGTTGCTTAAGATTATTCTTTATTATGAAGTGCCACAAAATGCTTTGTGTTCATTGTGCTTACATTGTCTGAATACTGGCTCATAAATAAATAAATAAATAAAATAAAGAGACAAAGACAGGAGATCCTCACTCTAGAGCAGAGATCCAAACCTCCTGAGATAAGGTGTGTCAGATATACAGCAGTAAAAACGTCTCAATCCAAAGGATTCTCTACAAACCCTCTCGCAATAAACAATTATTTAGGTTGTCATCATTCTTGGAAATACAAAAGAAGAAAAAAGAGAGGTTAAGCTAGTACAAGTTTTTTTAAAATTCTTCTCTACCTGATTTCTAGTTAGTTTTTTATTGTGCTACTTTCTTTAAGGTGGAGACGATGGAGGTGCTGAAGGAGATCAGACCTGGAGCTCACCATGAGACAGACTCAGTAAAACAAGGTCAAAGGTCGTTCTTTTTGCTTTAAAGACCAGCGAGGGGGTTTGGCTTGGAGTGCAAATTTGCAACCGTGGTTTTAGTTCACAATAATACTGTAATAAGTGTGACCGATGCTTCTATGGCTGTTAAATTCCTTATTTTACAACTTTATAATGGATTCATAGATTTGAGACATGCTAAGGAATATTAAGATGTTTCCCTTTGTTGGGTCTTTTTACTATACAAATTATTTTATTTTCTTAACTACTTTCATTTACAACAGTAGTTTAGATCTTTTGAAAAGTAGAGTTCTGTAGAAAGATTGTAATCTTATCTGTGTTTGATGGCTCTTTCAAGGACATAAATGTGGAGTTTAATTCTGATCAGATTGATGAGCCAGGTGGCTAGTCCAACTGGAGCAAAGACCAAAGTGGATTATTGCTTTTACAAAAATGAACATTCCAGCACTGCTTTATGAGTCAAATCCACTGTGAGTTGTTTGAGAGTGCACCTTGGTCTTATTGGTCAGAAATAAACTGATTCTGCAAACGTAGGAACTCCAAAGAGCTATCTACAGCAGGTAAGATATTAACTGTTCCAGACATTTTCGTCACTTTAAAAGATCTGTTTTAAAGGAGACATATCATGCTTTTAAATTCTTTTTCACGTTTAAATCATTCATCTGGGGTCTATAAAGAGGAACTGCAACACTTTTGATTTGAATTGCTCCTTGCTGTAACTCCACAAGCCCCTCTTTCATCTCTTTTCTGTGGTGTGTGTTAGATCAACTCGTTTTGATGCTGTCTCTTTAAATATAAAGAAAGCGCTTCACACCCTTCCCGCTTCCAGAGTGGTCCATTCTAGTCTGATAGAGGGGTTTATGACCAAACAGCTGCGCAGAAACCTTTTATTTACAAATTAATTAAAAGGTGAACAATGGAAGACTTGTCCATCCAACCTTACATGTTGGAGCCAGAGTCTGACCCAGAACCAGGGAATGAAGATGATAAAATTGTAGTTTGTAAGTCCAGAACTTATCCATAACAAATAATTAGAAAACGTCATAAAAAATAGAGAAAAATTTACTGATTAAAAAAATTTGACTGAAACAGAAAATAAAGATGGTGTCTACGCAGCACCAGGAGAGGCTAAATTCAGATTTTCTGCACTAGGGACTCCTAGTACACAACAAAATGTAGGGCAGACAGGGGACAATTGCAACACTTTTTGCATTTGACTCTGTTACTCAGAAGGTTTGAATTAGACAAACCAAATGTTAATACAATAAACTTACTGTTAATAGTCAAAACCATTTAAAGATGATTAAATTATGTACATTCTTCACAATTTGCATTTGAAAATGAAAAGTCAAATGTTGCAACTGACCCCGGGGACGGGGACAGTTGCAACATTGTTTGGGGGTGGTCACAACATATTATTAATACATTTCATTGTAAATAAGTTTTATTATTTTTTATATTTATATTATTGCTAAATTAATAAAAACTGTAAGTTATAATATTACAGTGTTATTTATTTACTCTTTTTGATCAAATGAATATAGATTAGCCTTGATGAGTAGACCTTATATACAGATGTCAAAGACTCTAATTGATAAAAAATACAGTTGACTTTTTGAGACAAGGATAATAGAACAATTTGTGAGACAATTAACTTTAGTTTTGTCTATTGTCACTGTACGCCTACATTATGTAACATTTACATTAAACAAACTGGGATTTTAAAACCATTGTTGAAAACAACTGCAGAAAATACATCTTAAACACTTTTATGTTTTAAACTATAAAACTGTCATGAACACCCAACACCCTTTTAAGTGTAAACTTAATTTCAACAAGTTAATCTCATCTGTATGTGCTCTGTTTTTATATGGATTTATCGTATGGGGACAGTTACAACAACTGTTACAACTGTCCCCCTTCCTGTCAGCCATGATAAAACCTCATGTGTTAGCTAAATAAGCTCATCTGGATACATGTTAACTAGATTAGTTAAAAGTCAACAGATCACTTGTTTAAACCATAGAAGTTTGAGCTGGATCACAAAAACAGTGACAACAGTTTAACAAAAATAAAACTGGGTAAAAAAAATACTTTGGTTCCTCAAAAACTGTTTTTTCCAAATAAATCCTGGATCAGTTTTTGAATCTGTTACTTTTTTTTTTTGCAAGGTGGGGCATCTAACTGAGCATGTACAGTGTGAGTGTCATCACTCTAGCTTGTTCCTGTTTGGAGAAAAATGACGTGTTGCAACCGTCCCTTGTTGTTACTGTCCCCGGTCTCACCTATTTAAAGGATAAAAAGTGGATTTTGCATGATATGTCTCCTTTAAGCACTTAATTGACAGTTTAACCTAAATGGTTTATTTAACTTGAGTGAATATTTGGCTAACACCTTACATAGAAAAGCGATGTATCTCCGTGTGACTAATCATTTCATTCAGCTCAAGTAATTACAGTCTAAATCTTACTCATAATTCAATGACAACAATAAACCCTGAAATTTGCTGACTCACATCCTGATTTCCCGCGTGGAACAAAACGTTTCCCTTTCATTAACTCGAGCTGCATTTCTCTTTTTTTGTTTGATCAAAATCTTTGCAACAAAACACTTGTGCGAGTCGTAGAAGATTGTTGCAGACGTGATACCAGTCATCAGAACACATCTCTCATTAGTGTCAGTTATGAAACCAGTCAGATTTTATCTTTGATCCCTTCAATTCTTTTAACCCTTGGTGCTGTTGGAGATCAGTCAACATCTCTGTCAGTCAGGAGGAAGCACTGTAATTATTGAAAACTCACGTCAGAATATTTAACCCATTCAAAGCCCTGACGGCAGACAGATTCTRTTATCCCAAACGGCTCATCAGCGTGTGCTCGCAGACACACGTGCACATTCACCACTTGAATGTTTTTTAACAGGCTTACATTAAATGCATGCTGCGTCAGCAAATAAAACCTTCGTAATGTTTTGTTGGAAACAGTTCGGTCCTCAGTCTGTCTCATATGAAGCTCCGTGAATGTGGAGGAAAGGGTTCTGAGCTGCAGAGAACTGGGTTCAGCAGCGCTGCTGCGGACCACCAACATGAAATCACTGATGGGGTTGATTTGAGCTAACCTGTCTGTGGATGTATCTCTCATCATGTAAGCCTGCTGTTGGCCCAGCAGGGCTGAACGGGGCCTACTGCGGAGTAATCCCACCTYTGTCTCGCGCAGCTACGGGACAGAACCGGGAGCTGGGTTCAGTCCGTCCCCGCGCCGCTGCTGTGGCTGAAGAAACTGTCCATCTAACCAAATTTTAAAATCTTATATCAGCCAAAAAGTCTTTTTGATCTTGTTTTGAGACTGATTTACTAAACAAGAACTGATTGTGTAAGAATAATCATCTTGTTTTCAGAATGTGTAAGATTATTTGTCTTGTTAGTCTGAAAATTTGACTCAACTTAATTCAAACATTTCTGCCAATGGAGTAAGAAAAAATTACTTGATAAGATTCTTGAAATAAGAAAAAAATTAATCAAATCAATATTTTAAGAATCTTACCAAGTAAAACTTTGTTACTCCATTGGCAGAAATGTTTGAATTAAGTTGGGTCAAATTTTCAGACTAACAAGACAAATAATCTTACACATTCTGAAAACAAGATGATTATTCTTACACAGTCGGTTCTTGTTTAGTAAATCAGTCTCAAAACAAGATCAAAAAGACTTTGACTGGTATAAGATTTTAAAAGTTGGTGGGCATTTTTTGCAGTGTGGAAGTGCTCTGGAGGGGATCGCTGAATAATGCATGGTGTTGCAGTTGACCTCAGTCCAACTAGAGCAATGCACCAAACTTTATGCAGGGAGAGYCTATTGACGGTTTGATGTTACCTGTCATTTTTAGTTTGTGCAAACTTTCAGGGACAATAAAATGGGACAGTATTTGACTGCATGAGACGGGGAGTAAGTTGGCAGCAGTTTAGTGCCGAATCGTTATTTTGGAAAACTTTTACAAAAGTACGAACCAAAGTGAAACATTGAAATGCCAAAAAAAGGCCTCTGGTTCGTTTAATGCCAGAGTTTGATTAGCATCGGTGTGCTGTGAGTATTCTCCTACAATAGGCCTCGCACCCAGTGGGCAGCTGATCCCAGCCTCTACATCCTATATTAGTTCTACTCACTAAGAGGCAGGCAGTGCATAACAAAGGAAAAGACAGGGCTTTTCTTTTTGTTATTCTAACACTACATTGGCATGTTCCCTGATGTCTTCAACATTAGTATTTTTCTGTTTATGACTATAGGTGAAGTAAAACATACCTGATTTTTAAACTGCTATACAGTAGGTAATACTTCATAACTTCATCATAAAATACCATGCATTAGGTGATTATTGCTTTAAAAGAGTCCCATGGAGGCTCCAACAAAAAAAAAAAAAAAAACACAATATTGCCCTCAGATTCTATCTATAGGAATTTGGCAAAAAAATCATAAGCTTTTTATGATGTTGGCATAGGTTTCATTATTATTTTTGCATGCAATAACGTTAATAGGAAAAGAAGATAAACAAACATAAGAAACTAATACTCAAAAAAGTGACATATGCTTTGGCCTGTAGTGGTAAAAAGAGATTGGCAAAAAATCCTACAAACTTACGAAGAACTTAAAGTGCAAAAAAAACAGCATCACGCTATAAAACCAGGTAGAAATACRTAACAAATTAAAAAACCAAAATACCCTCAAATAAATAAATAAATAAATAGTATTTTTTACCTCAGTATTGGAGAGATTATGGTCACTTTGTGCAGCAGAGCGTTATTACTATTATTATTATTATCATCATTATTACTATTATTTCCCCGCCCATTAAAAGCAAAAATCAGAATGAAAAACTCTTTCACTGCATTTCAGTGCATGGAGAAAACTAGTAGCTATATGTTTGCCATTGTCTTTGTAATAATCATTCTCGTCATCAATGTCCCAAAATATACGCCGTCGTACTATAGCTATAGGTGCCAGGAGGAAGCTGTGGTAATATAACATCCCTGTCCTGAGCAGGCAGAGGAAGAAGAGATTAGGGTTTTTTTTTTTGTTTGTTTTGTTTTGTTTGTCTTTTTTTTTAAGGAAGTGCATGCGTCGATCAGTTAAATCCTTAAGTGGGAAAATCTCAAGAAGAAAAATTGTGCTATCTTCATCGTTGTGAAAAGGCTCCCAAGGAAGGCGAGGTGGGGGAGAGGTGGGAGAGGGCGAGGAGGGAAAAGCAAAACTATCCTGTCTGCAGTTCAGTCTTTAAGGAGAACGGTTGTTTACGTCTGCAGTTTGATCTTTTCGGGAGCTCGTCATGCATCTAGCGGGCCGAGGGGAGAGAAGGGGCCTTTGAAGCAGGCGGACTCGTAGTGCTTGTTCAGGTAGCTCTTGAGCGCGAAGGTCTTGTTGCAGCGTTTGCATTTGAAGTGCTTGAAGGCCGAGTGGGTCTGCATGTGGGCGCGCAGGTTCGAGCGGTCGGCGAAGGCCTTGCCGCAGTGGGCGCAGCCGAACGGCTTCTCGCCCGTGTGGGAGCGCATGTGTCCCTGCAGCAGCCACGGCCGGCTGAACGCCTTCCCGCAGACGTCGCACTTGTGCTTGAGGTCGTGCGTGAGCAGGTGCATGGCCATGGCGGGCATGGACACGTACACCTTCCCGCAGGTGGGGCACTTCTTGGCCAGCTTGCTGTCCAGCGAGCGGTGCGTCTGTTTGTGCCGGCTCAGGTTGGAAGACGTGGCGTAGGTCTTGCCGCACTCGTTGCAGGTGTGCCTCTGGACACTCCGGGGGCTGCCGAGGGCTTTCCGCCTCGAGCGGCCGTCGGTGATGAAGAAGGCGTCCACCGTGTACCCCTCGCTCACCGCCGCGTCGCCGTTTATGTAGCCGTCGGTGATTTCAGAGCCGGGGCTGTCGGGAGACTCGGAGTCGGGAGCCCCGTAGTCGCTGTGGATGCCGTCGTAGAGGGGGTCGGGCGAGGGCACCTTGATGCCGCCGTCGYTCTCGCCATCGTACACAACAGGGCTGATGTAGTCGCTGATGTACGCAGCTGATGGGAGACAGAGAAAACAGCATCAGGTACAAGTGAGACCGTGTGTTAGGTTGTATCTCAGCCAGCAGAGCCGGCTCTTGGCATAGGCAAACTAGGCGGTCGCCTAGAGCACCATCTGCTGGAGGGGGTGCCAAACTGCAGAAGAAAAAAAAGTATTTGTAATCCCTGGTTGTAACTCTGCTCAGCGCCCCTTTCAATTAGCTTTGTCTTAAAAAACTATAATGAAGTATTACAGGAAAATAAACTACTCTACCCATAAAACATCCCCACCCCAATGCAACAATCGCCCCCACCCTCTCTCTCATTTGATTGACGTTGCACTGACTTGTCCTGCTCCGACACTCTGATGGGGGAGGGGCTAGCAGTGCCTCTCAGGTTGACATCAAAGCAGCCCGATGAGCCTGCTGACATCCATTCTGACACAGTGAGGACTGAGTTTGTCAGCCGAGGACCTCATGAGG